GGGCTGACCACAAGGTACGGCATCAGCCTGCTCATTATGTTGAAGAGGAAATACTCCCTGCCTTGACGAGTGACTGCTTACTGTTGAATCTTCCCCCTTCTTTTTTTGGTCCTCTGTAGGCTAGAAGCCTTAACTTTTAAAGTATAATTCATTTTTAGACAGTAGTCTAAAGTCTCCTACAAAGTCTGCAGAGATCATTACTATAACACTTAAGTGTTCTGCCACAAAATATGTTAGGTTTGGGTTTTTTTTTTCCATATGTACAGACTTGTGATTGGGGAGCCGTTGTCTTACTCTTTGTAAGTCCGCTGGGTGAGACTTCTGGTCAGGGATCGAGACCTTGGTGTGGAAAGTAAGACTAGGAAGTCATAAGACCAGGTTTGAATATTTATTTTTTTTAAGGTGGGGAATGTTGTTTCTCAGCAGCATTATACGGTAACAGGAAGAGCTTTGGCTGAAAGATAGGGCACCTGTTGCCTTATGGAGGGCACTCCCTTCAGCCGTCTTTGGCACCTGTACCCCACTGAAACTGGCATAGTATCTTCTCAGTGGGCACTGTGTCAGACTAGCAGATGGGCTGGAGCAGAATCTTGCCAGAAAACAGTTTGTGCATCAAGTTTTAAATATTAGAGGCCTGGACTCCCATCTGAGTGTGCTGTAAGAGCAGACCATGCATAGCTTTTCTGCCTGGGGTTAAAGGATGTGTCATACCTATTCTAGCTTAGAGTAATTAACTTTGAAAGTCAAACAGTGGCTTCCATTGCTGTGGAATACAAAACTTTGGCTCTAGTGAATCAAGATTAAGGCTTCATATAAAGATAAGTAAGAAATGTGAAATTTTCTACTAATATGGAATGTTCATGACTAGGAGGCATTTGCAGTTATCTGCAAAACAGTTTAGCAGTTGAGCACAATTTTCAACCAAAACCAGTTTAGTGGTCTTGTAGAAAATGGTTTCATAAGCACAGTACAGAGGGCTATGTATGTGTAATTTGTATAATAAAACTCTGCATTCATAGAGCTACCTAGAAGACTAATAATTGAGAAAAAAAAATGTATTCATAAACAATGCTCAGAAAAGGAGTTTGTCTAGGAAATGATGATGCATCTTTAGCGTAACAGTATGGACTGTAAACACCCTTCAAGCACTGAATGTTTCAGTTCTGGGGAAATACTGAATATTGCAAAGGAGGGGGGAAGCGAGGGGAAGTGATGTGCTTTGTTCTTTATATATTTGCCTTAGTACCCTCCATATGTAGGAAATACTTGAAATAGTGTGTTAAATAGCAGCTGCTACTTCTTATTTATTTGTTTATATTTTGGTTTTAATAATGATATTCCTGCAACTTGGATTACTTTTTGTTGTTATATGCTCTGAGCAACACTTGCCCCTATTTTTTGTTAGCCATTGAGTTTAACAGCTCTTAGCTTGTCTTAAATGGGGTCAGAATTTTTCCAGCTGCGAAGTGTGCGTTCCAGTGTTGCAAAGTGTGGTACTTCTGAGTTTTTATTTTTGCAAAAAAAGAAGCCAAAAATATCACTCGTCAGGATTATTTAACCAATGAAACAAAGCAAAAATAAAATCCTAGCAACCCAAGAACTTCTGAGAATTATTTTATTTGTTTCCCAAACAAATACATCCTCAAAATATCCAGCAGTGGCAAAGACACCAGCTGAGGACAGGAGCAGGGATGTTATTTCAAACTGCCAAATCATTGCTGTTTTCTTTTCCACTGTGTAAACTTTGTCAACAAAACTGGTTCTGTGAGAGCCATTGAAAATATTTCACCATATTCCAAATGTGACTGCCACAAATTAACTGCTAAAACTACAACAAGCACGTTTGAACTGGCAAATAGAATTGGCACGTTTCTTTGTCAGACTGCATGCAATTGTGCTGTGTGGTTGTAGGAAACGGCAATTCATCCAGAAACACTCTTTTGTTACCATGTCATATTAACATTTAGAAAGCTACATTAATTAAGGCTGTGGCACTCAGCAACAAAACGGATGAATTTCACGATTAAAGTGGATGATAAGACCGTAACTGCTGTGCCTGGGTGAAACTGGGGAATTCTGGACGTGGATTAATTTGAGGTAAGTTATTTGCTGTGCTGTGTAGGCACAACCATTGGAAATGATGGCAGAGAATGTGACTCTTACTGCACTGCTTTATTTCAGAGTGTGTTTTAAATTCCTGTGTTTTTCACTGGCATACTAGCTGTGATTGTGGGATGAAGGGGAAGACAGGAAAATAGAGCTGTGCCCTTTGCCCTTTACAAATGTTGTGTGAGACTTATCTTGGCACAAGATGGAAACAGCCACAGCCCCCTACACAGCTTAATCTTGTGCAGTGTTCCCAGTTAACAATTATGCAGACAATGGTTTTGATTGTGTGCATACATCAGTATCCCCTCCCCCCCCAATATAAGGAGATTGTACATTTCTAGTTGATAAAAGCAACATAAACTGTAAATTGGGAACTCTCACACTTGTTATGCTATTTTAAGACATCCTTTGCAAACATAATTTTGCCATATAGTGCTCCTGGTATGCTATGTGTGTACTTATATGCCATCAGAGACCTCCTGCCTATCAGCATTGCTCTCCTGCAGGGTCTCTGCTTACTGTCCTGCAGTCTAGCATTTAACTGATTGTAATATTATAAATAGCCATGTGCTACCACACAGAACGAGGCTAGCACATGGCTAATTACAAGTATACAGTAATTAACTATGAGCTAAACTCGCAGGAGAGTATGTGGTGGTGGTCTATGAGGTATGTAATCAGACTGTTTGTTAAACCTTGGGAGCCTTTCCAGTCTGTTAAGTAACTATACATAGTAATGAGACAATTTTTTAAAAACCATTTACGTATATTTATGAACAAAAAATAGTCTGTCTGATTTCTAAGCTGCAGTTAAAATATTGCTGACTGGTGTATGAATGGTTAATTAAAAGGATGTAACTAAAGGTACATATGGAACTTCGGCTTATCGGTATGTATGCGATTATCATCTAAGCATTATCTGTGTAAGAAGTTGAGAGTATTACTCACTGTAACTGTTATGCCTTGTTTCATGTATGTACAGTAAAATCAATAACACCATTTCTCCTTTTGTAGATTTGCATGTCATGTTACTGATTTTGTGGAGCATCTGTTCCTGTATCTTTTTGAGCTTTGTCTGACTCTTTTCCCTTTTCACATTGTAATGATTGCCAGTTAGTTTTGGTTTTATTTTCTTCAGGATGTTTTTTCAGTGTAACTTCAACAAGCGTCCTCAGCGGCACCGTGTAAGAACCATGGGGGTTAGGCCCTTTTGCTGGGCTACCTTGTGTTAATTGCTCTTCTTCATTACCCTGACAGCTGTTACTGTCTGTTCCAGATTACCATGAATGAGGCCTCTCTGTATAAAATGTCAAGATGTCCGCAGGGAAGTTAGATCAGACTCTTTCAAATAAATTTAAATTTGATACTTCTCTATACCCATCAAACCTCTGTTAAGTAAGTTGGTATTAAAATACATTCTTTTAGACACAAGTTCTTTTCTATGTCAGGGAGCTCATCTAATTCTGTTCGGGTATTTTGATATTGTTGAATACAATGAAAACAAATGGGATGTGTTCATTTAAACTGATGTCTTCAGCTATTAACAGAATTTACATGTGGCAAAGAAAGACGAAGACTTGAACACATGTGTCTTAATTCCCAGTTCAGTACAATAATAAGGAAAGAACAAAGTTTACAAAAAATTCCTTCTTAGTATGATAGTTTTAAATTGTATTCTGAATGTGAATGCTACTTCTCTGAGTCTATGCATATTCATACCTTCCAGAGCTACTGTTTTAGGATATGTTCATTTTATCTTAATGTGTTATTAGCACAGAAGCATTCACATAAGGAAGTGTCAAGCAGAAGGCAGTGGGGACCCTGCAGGTGTTTGGGGTGTGTGTGCTACTAGATTCATCCCAGATGCTGAATAGAATTGAAGGAAGATGGCAGCTGAAGGAGTCTGTTCATTGTAAAAATATCTTTGTCCCGACCATCAAAAAATAAAAGTGTGGATGGTTTGATTAGATCAAAGTTTACTTGATTTTTATTATGCGGATAAAAGTAGTCTTTTTTTGTGTGTGCTGATAGTTGAAGTGTTTCACACCTGGACTGTTGTTGGTATTTGATCATTGTAAGAAGTTTGAAAGGGACACTTATTTCCTAGGAACTGTATTCTTTTTAGGTTTTTTTAGTGTTATTTCTAAAAGATGATTTAGTCTCATTAAATTTTAATCCCAGTGTAGCTCCATGTAGCTTCAGTAGTATTAGAGAGAACTGATAGTTCTCTCAGGGTCAGAAGAAAATAGGATTGCATTGTCTGTGCAGAGAGGTTCTGTCTCCTGGGCTGTAATTGGCACATGTGGTCAATTATTGTTTTGAAATCTCTACTTGCACTAAGAGGCACAATCCCTCATCTCTCCTTCAGGCAGGTGGTGGCTGTGCTATCCCTAACTTAGGCCAGTGTCTAAATAGTGTCAGAATAGAAATCAAGGTTCTATGGCCAAATTAATTTGTAATGGAGGAAAGCAGACAATCCTGTCTAGAGGTGTAATGTAGGTCATAACTTTTAAGTGGTGTCTTTGTCACGACAGTGGATTGACAGCAACCAAATATAGAGGTTATTCAGTTGACTGTAATAACTTAAACATAGCCTGTTATAAAGGAATACCTCATTGTGGTGCAAAGGTGCAATGGGGACATCCTGCTTACTCCTTAATTAGCATTGAGGGAGAGAGTTCTGAAAATGTGGGTTAAAATTGCTTTTATACTTCTTGATTAAAACTTGTGTGTGTTGATTTTGTTTGTTTTTCTTTGAACTTTGAAAAACTTTGACCTTTAAAAGCAGGAATTCAGACAAAATGTTGAGTATCTTTGTATTTTTTGGTCACTCTATGCTTTATTTGCTATTATATTTTGTTGTTGATCCCTATCTCTTTCTCATTTTGCAGCTTCCCCTCAAACTCATGCTCCTGTAGAAGATGATGCAGTGCATGTAATTAAAGTGGTAATGTGTACATCTCCTTTTTAAATCGTGAACTTTTCTGCAGCTCTCTCTCTTAATTATCTATCCTTATTTTCAGCATTGGATCTGTATTGTGTGCTTGTGGCTTTTGGTTTTTTTCCCCTATTTTTTTAATATATCTTGATATACTTTTCCTACTTTAGGGTATGTTTGACATTTCCATGACACACAGTATTTCCTTGACTTGATTCTTTCCTCTCTTTGATTACTGCCCTCAACACTTTAGTAAAGAAAATCAGACTATGGACTTAAACACACCTGGTCTAGAATATTTCTGAAAATAGTGTCTTAAGTAGTTCCTGAAAGAGTCTGTGTTGTATATGAAAAGGCATTGCTAAACAACTTTTGTTTTTCGCCACTTATTAAAATTGCATTTCAGATGGTGTAGGAGGTGGCAGGTGGGAACAAATGGGGATTTTGCTTTTTTTTAATTTCTTGTACACTTTTCTTTAGAAACTATTGTCTTTCTCTTGCATTTTAGGATACTGAGTTTATTTATTTCTCAACAGGAATATCTTGAAAATGGCCCCTTATTTACTGAACTGAAATTTTACCAGAGGGCTGCAAAACAAGAGCATAGTAAGTAATATATCCATTGCAATTCTGTTAGTTTTAAGGAGAAGTTGGGGCTTAACAACTTCTGATAAGAACTGTTGCTTCAGAGCTTGATAGACAACTCTTTTTGTATACACTGAATTAATCCTAGTCGGTGCTATAATAATTTCAAGTTGCTACTTGGATGTCATCTTTTTTCCTTTCTGATCAGAAGGGAGAACAGAAGTGTGCCAAATTTAATATGTGCACAATTCAGAGTGCACAATAATGAATGAACTCCAGAGGGAGGCCAGCCTTAGAGCAGAGGTACTACACGGGCTAATTGGTGACCGTGTTTCTAGTAACTATTTCCATGTGCAGAGCTAAGGGTGTCTGTAATCATCACAGGATTTAGTAGTAATCAAGGCACTTGATTCTGCAGACATTTAAGCATGTATGTGATTTTTTTTCATGGGAACTGACCTGAAGCCTTTAGATGCTTAGGCTGCTGGTAGACATAAGTGCTTTTGATAGCTTGAAGCACTCTGTATTGAATAAAGTAGACCTTCTAAGGGGATTATTTTTTCAGCTGTTGGTAGTTGCTTATGTGCCTTCTAAGAGAACAAATTATCACATTGCTAAAACATAAAACCTACTTCTTGTTTTGGAGAATGTAGAGGACTTCACAGTTAAGTTGTAGTTTTAATTCTTTGCTACACAAACTGTCAAATAAGTCTTATTTGTTTCATTGTTTTATTCAAAGTCTTGATAACTAAACCAAAATCCAACAAAAAAAGCCAACACCAAACCTGACATTCTCTAGCTACCTTCAACATAATGGTATCTTTTTATTATTATTACAGTAAGAAAATGGATGAATCTCAAAAAAATAAGATGTTTAGGAATTCCAGTGTTTTGGGGATCAGGCTTGGCTGAGTACAAGGGAAAAAGGTAATGAAATTAATTGTAATTAAGCCTCAAATTGACTGAAAATCCATTTTTAACAAAAACAAAGCAAACTTGCAGTCTTAAATGATTCCTCCCTTTTGTATCTCTCCTGGTAGCTATAGATTCATGGTCATGGAGAGGCTGGGGGAAGACCTTCAAAGAATCTTTGAAGATTGTGGAAGCAGATTTAAGAAAGATACTGTTCTGCAGCTTGGGGCACGAATGGTATGTAGACAAACAGAGGAAATTGTTATCCCTTGAACTTGCTGAATTCAACTAGAAAATTATCTTCTGAATATAGTTCCTTTAGATAGCTGTTAAGTTTAGAATTAAATGTGTAAATGCTATGTATTTTCTTATTTTTCATCTGTTTTTAAAATAAAGTTAGTATTAAGTTGAGCATCAAGAACTCATGCAAACCAGAAGTTGATGGGCTCAAGCCAGAATTTTTTCTAATAGGTTAAAATATAGAGCATACACTTCAAAATGTGTGCCTAGACTGAGACATGTAAGCCTGTTCTCATATACTTTAGCATGTATTGATTTTTTTTTTCCAGTGTCTGAAGAGTATTTTATTAGACATCCATATTTGTCAAAGTTCACAATTGCATGTCTGAATGCAGAATTTTCATTGTGTTTGCTGAAAATGCTAATTGTACAGGCCAGGATTAGGCTAGTCTACAAATACCAGTTTTGCTCTCAAATGTAGACTGGCACACACTAAAGGTAGATTTTATATGTACTCCCTTGTAATACTGTTTGTGTTGTGAAGTACTGGTGTCACTAAATGGAGGTTCCAGTAAATGGAGTAGAGGCAATGACTGTAAGTTGCAAAACCTCTGAATATAAAGGCAACATTTGTGCAGAAAGAATGTCTTAGCACTGAAACATACTTTGCAGAGGCTGTGAAATGTCCATCCTTGGGGACTTTTAAAGCTTGACTATTCAATCGCTTATACAACCTGATCTAGCTTACATTCATGCTGCTTGAAGCAGGGGGTTTAGATGAGACACCTCCAAAGTTTCCTTTTAACCTTAGTAATAACCAACAGCACTAGCACCAACAATGTGAAAGCCTTTGTACTTGCAAAATTGACAATTTTAACACTCTTTGTAGTCTCCAAAAGTCAGGATTAGGTTGTCTGATTGTCCGGTGTCTCAGTTGCCATGTGCAAACTTTTTTTTAATGGCAATTAGAGCTGTTGTACCTCAGGAAGCTGCTGAAGAAGGATGATGATAGCAGGGGAGTGACATGAAATGCTGGTCAGGTAATAATTGGCAGGATCAAATATATTGTAAACTTTCAGGGCTGATTGAATATGTTTTTTTTAAGAGCTTGGTCTTCTTAACTGTTCCTCCAGTATTTATAAAGTACTAGTTTTGTGCTTTGTAAGCTGTAGTTAGTTAGACAGGGCTACTCATGGCAAAGTTTCTGATTTGCTGTCAGCTGTGTGCCTGGTGAGAACAGACCCTGTAGGCAGAGTGGGCAGTCCTTGGGCTCTAACTCAAAACAAATTTGTCAGCTCAGTCTGTGTAGCCCTTAATTTCACTGTGTAAGTGAAGAAATACTTGGTTGTAGGGTTAGGAGCAGGGTAGAGATGATGATGTTTTCTCATCCTTTCCCAGCTGGATACTTTGGAATATATACACGAAAATGAGTATGTTCATGGTGACATTAAAGCAGCAAATCTACTTCTGGGCTACACCAATCCACATGAGGTAAGCATATTTACTTACCTACACTTCTATTCTAGTGGTAGCTGTTTAATAGAGTTTTAAGTTATGTATATTCTGCATTAACAATTTGTGTTTTAAAAGAAGTTTATGTGTGAATGTTCACAAAGTCTGACAACAAATCCAAGAGTGGCTCCGTGAAGTTTAAGATCTGAGGAAGAAGCAGGACAAAATTCTGCTTTGTTTCCTTTGTACTCTGCTGATTGGTAATCTAATCAAGAGAGTAAGCTAGAGGACCTAGTTGCTGTTCTGGGTTATGCCAGTTTAGTAGAGTTCAAGGATAAGGATATGGCCCAATGCATTTTCACTCTTGTGGAGTTCTAGTGTTCTAATATTGCCATGAATTGTGTTTCCATGCTGCTAACTAACTTATGTCCAACTTGTGGATATAATGGGTGAGTAAGATTAAGATTGTTGCTCTCTAATACTCTACAGCCTAAAACTAGTTTTGAAGTGATTTGGTGCAATAGTTTGAAACAAATTTTCTGATCCTGTCATACTCTACATGCTCTTATGATGACTTTTCTTTTTGTTAATAAAATTTCAGTGTGCTTTTCTATTGGAAAAAAATAATTCAGGAAAAAAAGTGTATCTCTAACTTCACTTGAGTGTGATTAGCTGTAAGCAATACTTCTCCCTTTCTTTAAATTTTTCTACTGCAGCGATTAAGTAACAGATCTTGCAAAACTGCTCACTGCCATTGGAGGTTGAACCATTGAGCAGCTTTTTTACAAGTCTCAAGTTAAATGGTTAATTCAAATTCAATTTTTCAGCTTCCTAAAATGTATGGTTTGAAAACTGTTGTGACTGGGTAAACCAGCCATGTTTTTAGACGGTGGTAGCAGCCAGTACATAATCTCAGTTTATAGTGCTTACCAGCCTGCTGAATCCAAACTAGGAGACTATTTAGAGGAAAATGATCTGCTACCCAATCCCATTAACATAACTTCAATGACTCTTTTTGTCTGGCTGTTGTGTATGACAGCAAGATATGCTGCTGTTTTGCACATTGGAATAATTTTGGAAATGTCCATTTACTGTAATCATAATATTTTAAGACATGTAGCTGACTTTGGTCAACTGCTTTTGAATCATCCAGATTGTGAGGTGGTACTCTGATTTGTTTCTTGTGTTATCTGCATGAAGATTCTGCTACTAGTATTTTGTTTTCATGAGTAGTAAATTCATTGACAAATTAAAAATAAGGTAGTTGTGAGTTAGTAGACGGAGGTTTTAGGTGGAAATGGAACTTGTTATATTTATTAAATAAAAGAAAACAATAGATTTACCAATTTATGTAGCTCCTAGCTCAACATGCACTGTGTCGTACTGCTGAGGTTTTGTGTAGAATTTTTCTTCAGTAAAATTTCTTTTTACCAAAATAATTCTATAAAACACTTTATAAAGTTCACAGTCTAATTCAGAAGAGCTAACAGGGGAGAATTTATAATATTTGCTTGCATTTGTAAGGTATGAATTAAATTTTAATTTCAGTATGCTTAAGAAAACTTAGAGCTGTTCAGATATTATTCAGATAAGCTTTCCAGTTACGGGGCTCAGAAATTCTACACGTGGCCACAGGTCTGCTCGTTTCACCAAAGTCTAGAGCCATGTAGACAGTGATGATGACTTCTACATGTATTTTAAGGTAATGTGTACACTACTGAGCTTACACAGCAGGCAGATGACATCATGGGACTGTTTCTGGTGAAATAAAAAAATATTTTCTAGATACAGGTTGCACTGTATCTCGAAACACGTATGCTCTGTGGGGTGTGAGAAGAAGCAATAATCTCTCCAAACCACAGCTAGAAGTTTCAAATTGGTGGATCTTCATGTGCCACTTAATTGAATATTATTAATTGAATATTATTCCCCTGGAATTGTTGACTCTGTTGTCTGTAAACGTTCTTTACCTGAGTTAGGAGCAGTACTAGACAATATCCTCACATAGGTTCAGGTAATCAGTACTGTGCATGTGTACTTGCACACATGATTTTGCATTTGTCATGTCCTGGCTATTTGCATGTGCCATTAATTTGCATAGAATTTTGCCATGGAAGTTGATCCTTCCTGTTCCAAATGTGTCCAGTTCCCATGTAAGACTTCATGATGTTTTGATAGCCTTTTCTATGAATCAAGCTGTCTTTATAACATGTTGGTGAGCTGAATGTATTATGGATTTACCAGAACAGTATTTTGGGAAGGTCTGTGGAGCATTACCACTGACTAAATATGACAACAATATGGAATATTCTGTCCTCTATCCTCCAACCTGTTACTGGAGATGCTGTATTTTAGTTTTGCAATCTTGTACTAACTTAGACACTTCAGATAGAAAGTCAAACACTGTAATTGCTTCCAAATGCCTCTGAAATGTTTTTCCCCACCCTCTATCTCTGTTAAAATAGGGTATAGCTGGATGTCCTTGCTCTTGTTTTTTGAAAACAGTGGAACTGGGAGGTGAAGTGATCAAACTAATCTCGTAAGTAGGGAGTGAGAGCATCTAGCCAATGTCAAACTCACTCAGGGATACAAGCTGGGAGACCTGTAGCTTCAGTGGGAGTTAGCATAATAAAGTTGTCTGAGCTAACCATTTCTGTTGTGAGTTTTTGATAATCATTTTATGCTAGTGTGTCCTTGCACTTGGTGGTCTGGGATTTTAAGAGAAAATAAATATGAACTGTTTTGTTTTATTTTTAAAATAAACCCATATCTAATATTTTAAAAATAGGATATGTATATTCAAAACATATTTCCATATTCTGTTTTAGTGAAGAGATAGAAATTTCTGTTCAAAGAAGCATGTGTACCTTTGTACTCAACTTTGCCTTTTTCATTTAGTGGCTGTTCATGTGTACTATCATGGATGAATTCGCCACTGACTTCCTGCAGTTCCAAAAAACCATATTTTTTTCTATGTTAGACTCTTTTTCTGCTGCACTCCCTTCTGTAAATTAACCTGGTAAATTTACACCACAGCCAGTAAATATTATAGTCCCCTTTTTGAAAGAACATAGGAAATCCATACTGCTATCCCCTACCTTCTGTGGCAAGGCAGAGAAACAAATAAAGTAAAGGTCCTGTCACTCTGTGACCTCCAAATGATGTTTAGAAATGGTTAGAAGATCAGAATCAACTGACCTCAAAGAGCAGCTTGCTGCAGATCTATTCAGTAGAAGGGAGTGAGGCCATTCAGTGAGTTACAGGTCAAGAGATCAATTCTCTAGTCAATATGTTTCTGAACATGGACCCAGCACAATGACTGACAGAACACGAGTGATGGACTGAGGGAAGTACACAGCCCATGAATCTCAGAGAGGCCTGAAAGAAAGCATGAAGTGATCAGACCTATAAATTACAGAACAAGTGAAGCACTGTCTCAGTATTGCAGCAAGTTGAAGGTAATTCGGTACATAGTATTAACTGTACGATAAAGCAGAATAAGCAATATTGATAGAGACTCTAAAAGATAATTTAAAATCCATTAAACTCATTTAAATTGTGATACTATTAGAAGGGACAAACAGTCACCAGACAAGAGCTTAAAATCAGAGTTTTTAATAAATGAAATAAGGTTTGGAAGAATGCCTCTTCAAAACAATTACCTTCTAGTATTTTTTTTCCCCCTATGGAATAGGTGGGCAGGCATGCAGGCTTTACCAGAGGTTGCCTATTTGAATTTTGAGCTGTAAATGTTAATTGTATTTGCACCTCAGTTCTGATTTGGATTTTGAGCATTTCTTAGATATGATAGTTACAGAATAAAACTCTCAGACTTGATTATCCTAGATAGCTGTAACCAAAAAGGAAAAAAGAGGAATACAAAAATTTTTCAAAATGTTATCTTTTAAGACCAGTTTTCAGCGGACCAGAAGAGAAGATACAGAGCTCACACATTGATCATATGGGAGAACACACATGAAAACAATTCCAATTTAAAATCATTTTTCTTTGTGAGGCATATCATTGGGATTCCTGCTCTTTAGTCCAGTATGACTGATTTGCTAAAGAGCATGTGAATTGAGAAAAATTAAAACCTTTTTGGTTCTCCTTCTTGTGCTTTTAGGAAGAATACAGTATGCAGAGATACCATATAGAAACAGGTGAATTTTAACTCATGGATGCTGACTACACCCCTGAACTAAGATGTACTTTCACAATCAGATGGCCCCAATTTTCTTTTGTCAGTCTTGCTGCTACTTTTGGGTGGAATTGTTTACAGTTATTTAATTTCTTATTGTAGTAATGGCCCCAAATATCTTGGAGTTCAATTGATTCCAGCATATGGACTTGCCATTGACAAGTCACAGAAGATTTATTCTCCTCTCCTCTCTCCTTAACCTTCTCTCCTTTTTCCTTGGTTTCTTTTTTTGTGAAAGATGCTATTTCTGTCCCAGCCACTATACTTCAGCCTTCCTGTCCCAAGATGGACTTAATCTTTAGCTTTGTTGTAGTGCACTGTCCAGCTGAAGTTGACAGCACTCTGGCTATCAGCAACCAATCTGCCTCTTATTAGTAGGTATCTACTTAGTAATTTACGGCACATAAGCCTAGTAATGGAAGCACTGGAAAGAAAATATACTAAGAAAATCGGTGTATTCTTATCCTTTCAGCAATAAATTTCCTTCTGTGTTTACTTCAAGATAAAGAGAGTACTGTGAGAATCCCAAGTACCAGGCTTACGACTTCCCACGCCAGTGCAGTTATATGTAATAATGTATACCATTTGTAAGAATTTTATGTGTTTAGCAAGTATTTAGCACTTCAGATATAAAGCAGCATGAGGGAGTCGTACATAAGTACAAGAGGACTGCTGAATCTATGGCTGGCTGCTTGAGTACATAAATAATTATCTCTGCCTGTGTGGCTATTTGCTTGAATAAGAGGGCACATTCATGTTTGCATGGAATTAGATGCAAAGACTTTAGAAATCTGGCTTCTAATCTATAACAAAATCTATTCATAACAGACCATGCCAAGCACTACTGAGTCTAGTGCAGACGGGGATGCGTGAAAAAGAGAAACTTGAACAAAAGCAAGAGTTACAATAAATAAGTATGGGGGAAGGAGCATACAAATCAACAGAGCTAAACCCAGCTGTTCTAGGCTTATGTCACTGTTACACCATGGTCATCTATGTTACTATTTGTCATTTCATGTGTCTTGTTTATCTTACATTGCATGTGTTTTGTTCTCATTTTGTTCTGCTTTCTTTTGTTGCTCCTAAAAAAAGCATGCAGATGAAAAATATTTATGATAATGAAACATACTGACAGTTTTTCTCAATATTATTTAGTACTAATCTTTCCCCTCCAGACTCTTAAAAAAACTCCAACAACCTACAAATTTGTTAACTTCTCCTCCCCACCCTGCTCTGAGCAAATTTGGAAGGACACGTTGTGTTAAATTATCAAAAAATGACAACTAGCTATAAAGAACTATATATCTTTTTAATGATGAAAGGGTTATAATGAGAATTGATGAAATGAAATTAATGGTAATTTAAAATAATGCAGTCATTCTGATAATGGTAGTGGCAAGGTTGTAACAGTGCAGTGCTGGTTTTGTACAAGCTGAAGGGGATTAATTTTTGTTGGAGGCCGAGAGGTTTTGCCGTGAGAAGCTACCATTGGTTGTGTGTTTGTGGAAAACATCTTGTGTGAAAGTTCTGGAAGTGATAAATAGCTCAGTTAGAAGTAAGCCAAACATTTATGCTATGACCAGCTTCTGGAGCAAATTGTGGTGCAATCATAAATGTTGTTGCAATGGCATGCAGGCGGCTTTAAGTAGTAATTGCTGCTTGGTTTCCAGGTCTTGCCACCATCAGTTAAGGCAGGGTAACCTAAAACTGCTTCTCACTTCTAGAGTTTAAAACTTCTCTGCTGGTACTACTAGTCAAGGTGTTACAAGCAGATTTGTTGCTTAAAAATGGATTAAAAGCAGACAGTTCCTGTGTTTTATTTGTAGGATAACTGGTAAATTTTCTTACATAGTTGAAGTTTGACTAGCAAATACTTGTGGCTACTTTCTAGATACCCTGTTGTTAAGATAGTTTGAAAGACCACCTGACAGCTAAAATCTCATATTAATATAAGGCATAGCTTGAATTTTTAAAGGTTAAATTGTCTCTGTATTTCCTTTTGTTGTATCTGGTCAACTGTACATATCAGAAATCTGTAGTCAAGCGAAATCCAAAATGTGCCACTTAGCCTGAGAAGAATACACCTTCTAGCCTACTCTCTCCTTCCCAGTCCACAAAAGATGCAGCACACTCAAAACTTGGTATTAGGGTAGTTTAAATTTAGTGTTCTCACATTGACTGTGGGCTCAATTAGGACAGGTACTAGAGCATCAGGAATACTCTGGAGAACAGATGCAGGAGGAAATCAAATCGGTCAACCCAACAACGTTTATGCCTTGTCCCAGATTTTCTAAATGTGTCTGTGGTCTTTAATCTTGTATCACAGTTTGTATAGTCTGTCAGGTGAAAAACATCATCAGTAATCTTAAAAGCCATCACCCTGCAGGAAGTGAGTGCTGCATCTGAGCTTACACGCTCCAAATAAGCACAGATCCTGCAGCAGAAACCGTAAAACCAAGAGACCCGTCATCCCAGGATTTGAAGCTGCCTGGAGCACAAACAGGAATCAGTAGTTCAACAGAATGTGCTACAAAATAATGCATTAAGTTTTCTTTAGGGTTTTTCTTGTTTGTTTTTCCTCTACCAGGAGTAACATAATTAAATTACAAGTGAGTGCCAGAAAAGTTTATTTTAGACTTGTATAGGATAAACTGTTTTTTGGCTAAAGAGGCAACAAAACTAAGGTTCAAATAAGAAAAAGTTTTTCTTTATAATACAATATGATTTAGTAAAAATGATCTCTATGTGCCTTCAGATGGCTTAGCTTTTGCCCCAGAGATCAGTTCCATTGGCAATATAATAGCAGTCTGTTACATTTTTATTATTTTTTAAGTGAAAGTGCCATGCTTGGATATTTATAAAAAAAGCAATTACCTAATGTGAGAACTGGTCAATGGAAGGGGCAAAGGCCAGGTGGGAGCGTGGAAATGACAGAGTGAGAAAATAACCTATGGGATATTGGGGGGTGGACAGATTGTGATTCAATTCCAGCTGCTTTCAACAAGTTACTGCTTGTGAGCTGCGCTGCAGTAAATGACCATGTGCATGTATTAAGTCCACCCCTGTTGGAGGGTAGAACATGTTAATCTGAACGTCATAGAATGGACTAGTGCCCTTAATCTAAATTATTTGAGTGCCAGAATTGACATGGATGCGGTACTGCGTGCACTAGGCCAATAGAGAAATAGAGGCATAGGAGCCAGATGGTACATTTGGGTTTGTCTTGACAGGGAGCAGAAGAACAGAAAGTAGAATTCAGGTCTCCTGAGCTGTTTACTTTTCAGCTTCAAATACTGTAAAAGTTAGCAAGACTTTAGTTTAAAGTCAATATTTTCACAGGTAGGTCCCAAGAATATGCAAGTGCATCTCCTAGATATGTCATTCATGTCTGTGGGGTTTTTACCCTGTGGTAGCTATAGTGAAGCATCTTGAAAAAAAAAACAAAACACCTGTGCCAGGATGGAAAGGTAAATGTGGCAGAATGCATAAGCTTGCTGTAGTATACACAGTGGGACCCCAGATTTCTTTCTCTTGCACTGATTTAGCTCCAAGGATTTGCTACAGAGTAACTTAAGAGTGAAGTCTGGCTCTGTGCCTTTTTTCAGGAGTGATTTACTGGGTTGGGGTGGGTGGTTGGTTTGTTTTGCTTTGTTTTCTCTTACACTTTATGTTTAAATAGTTCTTGCCAGTACGATGTTGCTGACAATGATGTTCAAAAAGATGAGACTACAGTTAGAGTAATTCCCAGCAGCCCTGTCGTCATGGCCACTGTCAGTGCTGGAGGCCTGTATCCAGTCTTGGAGGTGAGGGAGGAACTTGCTGCCTCCTGCTTCCTCTGGCTTTTAACTTGCACTGCTGTTACGAAATTGCACAGTCTCAGCTGGTGGAATATTTGAATAGGGAGGCGTGTGTTTATGCTTCTTGAAGTAAGGAGGGGAAGAGGTCCCATAAGCAATGTGAGGGTACATAAAAGGCATATTGAAGTTTATGGTATCTAGATGCCCACCTGGAGAGGAGCGAGTTTAGGAATGAAATTCTGCTTGACTCTGAAATAAGATAAGAGTATAGTAGTGAAAGGATTTAAATGGGGAGGGCAGCTGTTATAGCCCCCAGCTGTACATATTTTATCCTGAGGCACCATTTGGTTTAATAAAATTTAGATCTAAGGCTGTCCTTAACCTATCAGTTTCTTAAGACTTAATTATAAAGGTTATACTTTCAAAGGACAAAAGCATTATTCACTTGTCTGTTCATGTCTTCCAGGTTTATCTTGCAGATTATGGACTTTCCTACAGATATTGTCCCAATGGGAACCACAAACAGTATCAGGAAAATCCTAGGAAGGGCCATAATGGGACAATAGAGTTTACCAGCGTAGATGCCCACAAGGGAGTAGGTAGGTTTCTTTTTTTTTTTATTTCCAAGGAGTGATTACAGAATGAGTAATCAGGCTGTGTGAGCTGATGTATACAATAGAATTAGTCTCGGGGATTGCTCAGGGTTGATCAGACCCTTGTGTGGTGACCTCCTCTTGTACCTGGGAATGCTTCTCCAGAGCTGAGGGGGAAGGGAGGCAGCATGGTTAAAGCTGAAAGGCTGCTGCATGTGTGGTACTGGAAGATGAACCAAGACACCCTAAGAAGAGCTTGCCATTAAACTTAGTTGGTTCATGCTGGGAGTACTGGTTTGTGTGTGTTGTACTCTGTAGACAGGCAGAGGTAGTATTTCTTAATGTTACATTGTCAAGGAAAAGTGTTTTGAGTCTGCTCTGTCCTTTAGGGAGAGCTGTGTCTCAGTGTCACCAGCTGTGTTATGAGGGGATATTTCAAGATGACATTCCTTCTGCAAGGAGAAAAACCTTTTTTGAAGCCATAAAGTGTTAACTTTTTGAAATCTTTTTCCAGTAGCCTTTCATATATCTTACTTATTTAAACTCACTTTGATGGTATTGGAAACACATTTGCAGGTAAATTACATACATAGTCCTTTTATTGGATATTGATTGTACTGCCTTGCATTCCAAGGCAGACTTAATTCAACAATTCCCTAATTAGTTAAAGTCATAACCTATGTCTTGTATTCATTTACCATTAATTAAACCTTAGCTGTTTATTACACTGCAGTCCAAATCCAATAGCAGACCCATAGAGCCATGGAAAAAGGAATGGGAGGTCAATATCGAAAATATATGGTGCAAAGTCCCACTGATGGCTGCATTGTTCGCAATCAATGTGGTCAATGCAACACAACTTTCTTAGTTGCTATGTCAGCAAGACAAAAAGTCAATTCTAATGTTATGCTAGTGAAAAAAATGGTGATTATTGAAAAACTTCGACTCTTGCTACAAAACAGTGTTTTTGTTAACTTTTCTTTCCTTTGTTCCCCCCACCCCCACTCCCAAGATCTTCTAAAATAAAAGGAATGGTTTTCTGCTACCAGATTTGCTAGGATCACAGTGTCACAAGCAGTAACTGTAGAAATTTGTGCTTGTTAATAGCTGCTGAACTGTTACCTTAAACTAATACTTTCTAATGAGTTTTATTTGGCACAAACAACTGTATATTATTGCTTTTTCTATTAAAAGGACCATTGACCATGTAATGTAGAGGGTCTTGATAATTTGCCGGCACTGTTAAAGCCTGCAGTCGTTTAACTCTGGTCATTAGGAAAAATGAAATAAGACTGTCAAGTATTTGCTGCTAAGACAATTGCACAGTTTCACCTGCTAAAAATACTTTGTGATGAAGAAGGCATCTGTTTCAGACTCGTTTAGCCCTCCAAAGCATACAGTGCATTTTCTGGAGATGTGACTCTGGCTGTTTTTCTCGTAGTGTGAGCGATGTGGCTGCGTAGTAGTATTTTACGTGGATGCTGTTTGAAGAACAGGTGGAAGCTGGAATATCTGAGATACAGCAGTTGGATAGTTATAGCAGTTAGTTTGTATCGTGGAGAGGTGTCTGTTGGTAGGTATGTGATTACAGGATGGAGAATTTCTTTTATTTGAAAGAGTAGGGAAATTTAACAGACTTGGGTGTCAAAAGGTTTGCAGATGCAAGTGTGAGTTATGTTGTTATCTTTTGCATTCTGTGGGTTAGATCACTCCCCCAAATAGCTAAATCCATGATGGAATTGGTAAAAAGTGGAGGACTCCAGAAAATAAAACAGTAAAAAAGGCAGCTGGAGGGAGCTTACTTTCATCATGCACTTGAAAATATTTTGCTTGTTAATAGTTGCAAACGAAAACTGCAGATTTTTCTGATGCTTCCACCAGAAAAGCCTGCAGTGTGATAACTGGCATGTTCCAGGGAATCCAGATTATTCACATGGAATGCCTCAGCTCTAACCTTGTAACAGCCTGAATCCATTAAGGTCAAATTACCAGAGTTTCCCATTTGCAGCAGGTCTCTCAGCATCCCAGGGAAAATATGCATCTGCAACAACTTCTGCTGGAGATTGCACAGATCCATATGGCAGATCGTTTCCTTCTTTTTGTCTCTTGTTGTGAGGTTTAGAGTTGTGGAGATGTTTCCAACGCTGGGGCAAAGGCATCCTTTACTCAACAATCTCCTGTACTCCTGTCTCATAATTGAGACTCAGCACAGCCTCACATAACCAAGTGAGGTGGGGATGTTCTTTTGAATAGTGTTTAAAGGCTGTTTCACTGTTGGCAAATGAAAGCTGTGTAGACAGCCTTCATTCCAGAGTTACCCAGTTTTTTCAAGGTGAAATATTTATTTCAATGTTTTTGGAATATAGTCCCAATTTTTAAATGTTGTTTTATATAAATGAGATCCTTTCCAGAGGGCATTTCCTGAATATACATAGCAACATAAATACATTTCAGACCTCAAAACCCTAAATAGGACCAGTTGCTGCATTCAGATAGATAAATGAGAACATTCTGACTTGCTCTGCTTTTATTCAGTAAGCATCCACTGAAGTTATATAGCAATTTGAGGTACATGCTGAAACTTAAAACAAAATGTCGAAAGGGCCTCTTGGCAATGCTTAAAGCCGATAACCTCCATGCAGAAAGCCAATCAGATGCTGTGATTTCCCAAAAGTGCAAATCAGCGCTGGTGTTTCCCCAGTGGAATCCAGCAATTAACCCAGCTGCATGCCTTGTTATTCCCCAGGCTTTCCATAGAGTTCATCAGGTGCAGAGGTTATGCAGTATGCTGAGATCCAGAAAGTTTCCTACCAGTGGCCACTGCGTGGTGACACTTCTGTATCGTAGAACTAGTATGTGTTCTTCTGACAGCCTCTGGTATGGGCTGAGTTGGATGTGCCATTCCTGTGGCAGCTTGTGGCAAATCTCTGCCTTCAAACAAGTAACTTTCACAGAATCATAGATTCATACTCTTGAGCATGCAGTGTACACTGGTGGTGCTGGTGTCTTTGACTTTGTGCTGGAGCTGAAACAAATTTCCTCTGAGCTGGGAAGAGCCGGGAGCAGCTGCCCTGCCTCCTGTCTCAACTCTTCACACTGGTTTTGTATTTAGTTTTGCATGACTCACCCGTGCTCGGCCTGATGTATGAGCCCCATAGGTTGTCCCTTCTGTGCCACAGTGCTGCCTGGGGGCTTCCAGATTTGTGTTCACAAGTGTTCATCACGACTGCACTTACACCCCCAGCTCTGTGTGTGGAGTTTTCTTTGAACGAAGTCAGGCCCGAGTTGGGCTTTGCCACAGGATCTGGCCCACATCATCAACACTCCTGTGTTTAGTGGCTGGATCTCATTGCAACCAGCATGTAGGGTTTTTAAATTTCAAACCTTCTTTTTAATGCAAATTTCATGTGACACAACTGCTCTGTTAGTTGTAGTGTAGTATTTGAGTGTATTCATTGTATTCCTTTTTAAAGACCATACTGTATAAACAGTATTACATTTTTGCTTGTTGATTGATAATTAAAGAGAATTATATCTGCACCCAGTGTACATTTAAAAAATTGTTACATGGTGTTAAAAAGTAATATTTGGATCAATGCCTTCTATGGATTTTTGTAGATTTTCTACTCACTGAGGCATACAGTCAATACCTAATTTCTCTGGAGATATACTGCGCTTAACATATTGAGTTTTTTTAAATACTCCAGTCCTGTGCATTGAGTGTGTAAGACCAGTTTTAATTTGCTATCATTGATGAACATAAGAGTATGAACTGTCTGTGTAGAATTCCCTCCAGCATACATTTGTATTTGCCATAGATTTCAAGATAACTCTCCTCTTCCTTTTAACAACATTTCACAATAACTATTAGCAATTTTGCTATCTCTTGCCTTGGGTAGGGGGCCTACAGAAATCCTTGCAGAACTTATATCTGCATCTGGAATAGTAAAAACTGCCTAAGACAGTACTGGTGACTTGGGACAAGCTTAAGGGTGAGTAAGACATCTGATGGTGTTTGCCTCAATTAGGCCCACTGGTTGTCGCTTTTTTGTAGCTGGTGAATATGTTTCGTCTGAGCTGATTTCATCAAGCAAAAGTGTGCTTATTTTCATCTCCTGTGTGGAGGAAGGCAGCTACATATTTTAGTCGTATTTTAGCCAGTTCTTTGTGTCCCCCACATTGGGTTATTGCAGCAGGTGCTCCTTGAGGTCCATCCTAAAGCTTGTGCACTGTTTGGTCAGGGCAATGCAGGCAGCTGGCTGATTG